ACTGATCTGAAGGAAGGACTCAGAAGCTGCTTCAGTCGTGCATGTAAGAATCCAACATCCATACCCAACAGCTCAAAGGCATTTAAAGTCTTCTCCCACATTTTGTAATCAGCATGAGAGGCGGACAGCTTGCAAGCTCTAATGGCATTAGCAATGTTAGTAGTTTCAGTTATTATTTCAGCAGCCAACTTACTGTTAATACTTTTGAGGAGATGATCATGCAGAAATGAACCTCGTGAGCAGCATAGATCGTAATAGTTGGTCCTGAGCTGTTTGGAAAGCCAAGAATCTATAGTCACACCATTCACAAGAATGGTGAAATTCTCAATACTTCTAACATCTTCGAAATCAGCTGCTGGTACTGGATATCTAATGCCTCCTGGAAATTTGGAGCCAAATTCCTCATTGTCTTCCTCAGTTTGATTATCTATAAGCTCAGGCTTAGTATCTAACATCAGACTTGTATTCCGAATGTTGCCTTGGCAAACATCGCTTGAAAGAGGCTTTGGATGGTTTTCCTCTGCATAATTTTTCACCAAGTTAACATTTCAAGTCTACATGCCGTGATCTCATAATTTCTGAAGGAGCAAAGGACAGAGAAAGATAGAGAGATAGAGAGATAGAGAGAGACAGACAGACAGAGAGAGACAGACAGAGTATACCAAGCACTTCATGTTTGGCGCAGGCATTCAATTTCAAGAGGCTAAAAGCTGCATCTACTTCAGCTAGATTATGTCTTCCCATTATGCACACCTGTAACATTGTGTAGAGATATCAACATTATCAATAAATTAGAACACCATGGGGATAGAAATCAAGAAATTAGACCCTAAACCCACATGCAAAGGCAGATGGATAAGCCTCATCCTAGCAAGAAATGCAAATTAAGTGGACAAGAGGGTATTAAGAACCAAGCTGCTCTTGTAAAATTTGCACACAAAAAATGTGCCCGGGAAACAACAGTGGAATACCTTAAACTTCAAAGGCCCGACCAAACGTAAAACTAAGAGATCACCAACTCGTAACTTGTGTGCAGTACAAAACTTTTTCCATCCAGCACTTAGTATCCTCTTTCCGGCAAGAAAAATAATTCTATATTTTTCCCCACTTTCGACTTCCAGGGTTAATGTTGTATCATGCAACGGTAAATGCAAATGGCAGAATTGCTTCGGCAGTGTCTGTCAAATAGAAAAATTAAGTGCATAATTAGTTATATATTTGTCCATGGCTCCAAGTCCAGTCCTAAACTTGGCGAATAAGTTAAGACTTACCAGACAATTCCAAGAGGAAACATTTGAACGTATCATAGACTTAACAATGATGGGGTATTCAGCTCCAAGAATTGCCTGGATCTCCTCAACTTGGGTGCTGGCAGAAGACTTTTCATGTTCGTTAAAATTATCAAACATGGTTCTCTTACAGCTAGTCGGTCAATAAAACATCAACGTTAGATACTTAAAGCAATTAAGTGCTGAAGCTAATTAATAAAACATTTATTAAAAAATATACCTACCCTCCATGCTTCCGAGGATCCCCAGGAACTTTCTGTTAAAAAACCATAAGAATTTTCCCTTCAATCCTTTATTGAATTATTGAAGAAAATATTACCATCAACATTATCATCCACATAACTAGTATATGAGCCATGACATGCAGCATAATACACAGTAGCATAGATAAATGTACAAGGGCTGTATAAAAAATGTGACTACAAGGTATCGATTTCCAAATAACAATTCATTGGGTCAGTTTATCAAACATGTACAAGACAATAAATGGGCCTGTTCTTGGCGGGCATATTTTTGGTTTCCTATATGATTGTTAAGGCACCCAACAGAAAAGCAGACCAAGTTCAAAGAGAATGCAATACCATCTTAACATGCCAAATAGAGCAAAATGGAACATATCTTTGAAAATGCAAAAACAGAAAAGAAAAGGCAGAGCAGATGGGTTCTCTGAGCTCAATATCATATTGAATATCAGAAAAATCATCTTAATCAGTGAGAAAGATGCAACCATAAACTTTTGGTGTGCAAATAAATGACAATGAAAAATGGTTCTCACTCGCTTGGTCATATGGGTCGGACTTAAAGGACTTCTCCGAGTGTTGAGCACATTTTTCTTGGTCTTCCATGGCTCCCTCTTCTCTACCTGCGATTGAACAACTACCGTTGAGCAAATAAATTCACAATCGAGAGAGAGAGAGAGAGAGAGAGAGAGAGAGAGAGAGAGAGAGAGAGACCGAAGGGGAAGAATGATGGGTTCTTCGGCGGCTGCGGAGAGAAAACTGGGAAACACTCAAATAGTCTTCTTCTTCTTCTTCTTCATTTTCTTGTGGAACATACTCAGGGTCAGAGAGTTCTTCTTCCTTGACATTCATGGTGAGCATGAAGTTTTGACTGTGTTTCCACTCCTTGGTCATCGCCATTGGAATTTGACAGACACTCAGCCTCAGAGCTCTGTCACCTCACTGGTCACTGCCCTTCTTTTTCTCTTCTGTCAATAGGCATTCACTAGTGTTAATTCACTAGTGTTATCTTGTTAAAGAAGGAATCTTGCCTAATTGCTGGTTTTCAGACTCATAATTTCGTATTAATAATATGACAATACGGCACACCATTCTGGAAATGGTATAAGTAGGTAACTTCTCAACGCTGCACTGCATGACCACTTTTGTGTGTATATATATAGATGGTTAAAAATTGTTGTATATAGTTTCAATTAATATTTCAGATTCATATAATTTATGTATTTCTTCCCAATTTTATTTATGACAAATTATGAAATTCGAGCTCCCTTAAAAATGAGCCAGTGTTCATGTTTTATAATATGAAATTTACATACTTCTATATTTATTGAGAACTTAGCAACTGTTTTTCCTCCTATATTTACAACGATTAAATCTTAGTCAGGATCGTTCAAGCAACGCATCTGGTAGTGTTAATTGAACGAACGATTGTGTCCGTGCTACAAGGAACCTACAGTACATACAGACTATTATCTTATGCAAACCAACTTTGCACCCCACTCCTGGTGATATGTATCATCATCTACCATCAAGATTGGTGATCATCTATACGTTCCGATTGTTCGTCAGATGGACAAAATCTGTCTTAAACATATATGTGTGGTTATATACATGCGATTATCCCTCGTTCGTTCTGCCGGATACCCCAGAAGGTGTCTGAAAAGGCAGACCTCACCTCCAACTCTTGGGTTGCTACAGCTAATTTTTCATGCGCCATTCTCTGCCACGTAACAGATCTCCTTCAAAGGCAAACCCGTAAGAGAAGTCATAATCTCGAGCGACGAATGCTTTTGAGACCATGAGGTGGTGAATTCCTACGAGCAGAGGCAAATGGCTGCCCATTCAAAGACCCACCAAATTTGATATCCCAACCCTCGACGTTCTTAGGGACACAAACATCAAACAGGACTTGGCCGAGTACACTATGTGCACTAATGCTTGGGGCCTTGGGCAGAGAGATTGATCTTTCTTTCTGTTCATCTTGTAAAGACCCAGAGTCCCTACCATTATGATTCTCTGCTGAACTTGGCAAGAAGAAGTGGTCGCTTGGTTCCACTGCAACTCTTCTGAGGCTCTGGTTAGAATTTACAGCTACTTTCCGGAGATCACAGATTAGTTCAGATATTTCATCGTGCATGCCTTCCATGCTAGCATTTTGACCTTCAAGTTCTTGAATTCTTTGACAAAAAACCATAGCTGCCTTCTCAAGGAAATGAGTAACAGACGACCTGTATTGTATTGGATAATGCTTATAATGACCTGAAACGAAAATAAAGTTATGTTATTTTAGTTCTTATGTGCAATAAGCATGGAAGTAAACCAAGAGTTGACAATGAGAAAAATACTATGCACTGTTCATATATCCGATGAGTGTTTCCCAAGTTTTTTTTTCTTGCAAATCTTGGAAGACAAAACCCACCAATAACCTCTTTTTATTGACAACTATAAAGTTATACATTATCCATTGCTGGGAACTATTTCTGCAATTTTGCAAACTCATTTTGCAGTATAATAATCTTGGCATAAAATAAGCAAGCCCATGTGTTTAACGGTACAAGACCCATTGAATAACAGCCTCCAAGTAAGAGAATGCAAGTCCCCAAAGTCTACTTCTCCTATTTTTCAGACTTTCTGTTTGTCCAAGATAAGATGGTGCCCACAAGGTTTCACAAAAAGTTAAGAAGATATTTACAATAATTGCTATTCAAGAGTGTTGCCTCAACACGGTATAATTTCACTCAAAAAAGAACATAGATATTTAATTAAATATAACGAATTATTATAAAAAGTACGTTAAAGAACCAGTGCTAAGCTATGTTTAGAGTTTAACACATCACTGATGAGCAATATAACTTCTAAAGGTAGTGGGCAACAAAGAAATTGAAAATCCACACAGGATACTAATAACAGAGAAAGAAAAAAGCTAAAAAAGAAACAAACAAAAAAGAGTTTTGAAACAAACCTAGGTGAGGGGAGCCACTCAATTTCACAAGATTGACATCTCCTCCAAGTTCTTGTAAACGTTGAGTAAAATTGTAGATAATATGATAAGGAGCCAGATCATCTTTATCAGAGCATAAAACGAGAAATGGAGCACCCAAATTCTACATGAAAAAAGTAATTATTGCATTAATTAACAGAAACAAACAACAAACAACAAACAACAATAGGTGGGTAAAGGCTAAATAAGAACTTACAACAGAGGAAAACAAAGCCTGCCAATACTCAGCGCACTGGGATTCAAACCTAGTAAGATACAAAGCATCCAGACCAGAAGCAATGCCTTTAGCTAGCCAAGAAACCAGTTTTGATGATCCAGGCATCTTTAGAATGGCTGGGTGTAGTCCATATTGAGTGCCCAGGTCACTCGTAAAATCAACTGGACCAGAATCATAGATGTGTCCGGTAATACACTTTCTGACCAATCGATATTCGGCCTTCACAAAAGTTAAAGAAACTAATAAGAATACAGTGTCTGGAATGAATCTGTTGGATCAAATGGGCATTAACAAAAAAATATAGTCCAGAAGTTTTAACTGAAAATACAAAAGAAATGCATACCGGATAGAGCTGACCTTCACAAATTCCCTCAATAATCTGCATTTACATGTGCTAAAGTCATTACACAGTACCGCCATTGTAATGAAATCAGTAAAGACCAGTTAAGACTTATAAATAATAAATAAATGAATCCTGAAATAAGTTTATCAGTATCAAATACAAAATTGGTTATCTATCATTTAAGAAAGTTACCTGAAAAACCTTGTACATACACGCTTTTGTACCAGCAGAAAGAGCCACAAACACTACAGGGCATGGCTTAATCCTTAGCTCCTGCAAACCCAAAATACATAAATGAATAAGTACTCAACAGATTACACTTGAGCAATATTAAAAGCTATACCGATGCCTAATTTATCCCAGATTAAAAACAGATGAAAGATTTGTATGGAACGGGATTCCACACCATACTGAAGTTGGGTTTTTCTTTTTTTGCGTGGGTGTCAAACACACACACAACTACTCAAACAGTCATTAGCCAGGCATCGCACAACAGCTCCATACCATGCATCAAATCCGAAGAAACATTTAAAAATTGGCAAATTAGTACGGAAACTGACCTCAACAAGCTCATTGAGAATAACAAAGGCGGACGACATGGCCTTTTCGGGATCGAATCTGCACATGATTTCATCATAACGGGAAAAAATTAGCTCGAAATGCAGCAAAATGAAATAAAGATCCAATCTTAAAGTCCTTCCATGAATCCCAAACCAAAATTTCTACCAATTACAAACCAACCCACGAAAGTTCCAAAACACAAAGAATCCCAGGACGTAGGACAAGGACAAATAAAAAACTTATGCATGCTGTGTTTGGCTGGTGAGAACATGTGAGAAAAGCCACTTACGCATGGAGAAAATGGGAATGGCAAACGAGGGAATTCCAACCGAGAGACGAATACAGATCCACGTAATTCTTCAAGTGTCTCTCGTGAATCGAAACCCAAGAGAAGATGACAGCGATTCCTTTTGAATCAGAGACCTCTTCCTTTCGTCCCCAGAAGATACCGCCACCACCACCACCACTGCCACTACCTCCCCCACCCCACATAGCTTAGCTTCTCAGCTACTCGGGGAATTTGGAATTTTGGGAATTTTGGGGATTAATTTTTTGGAATTCTAGGGTTTTGTGGATTTGTTAGATTGCAAAATAGTGGTTGGAGAGGTGTTGGCTAGTTAGAGCCACTCGTGTTCTTGTGTGAAATCTCAAACTCTGAGAAGAGAAAACGATAGGGGCTGCTGATCTTGACGCTCATGGACCATGGACCGTGGGGGTGGGGCCGCCGGCCACGTCAGATCGTTCGCACCACGCGCATTTTAGGATAAGGGCCAGCCACTTTGGAAACTTGCTGGCAAATGTGGATTAGGACAGAAACTCTCATGCAATCTAGATAATATTTTTTGTTATTTTTGTTATTTTTTGTCATTATATTATTGAATAGAGATAGCAAAATAGTCATATCCGTGTTACAATTTTTTTGGTGGATTAGGTCAATTAATCACGACAATAAAAGTATCTACAATCAAGTTCCTTATTTTTTAATTAAAATTTAGTAAAAAATACACAAAAGCTATTTTAGGAGCTCTCTTTATAATTTAAACTCCAATCATACTCCACACTTTAGAAAGTCATAAATGCAACATTAAATTATAGGGAGCCAATAGAAGTCATTTCTCTCTCCTTAAATATAGAAGTTCCTAGAGGTCTCCCTATTTTAGGAGTTAGGAGCATAGTTGGAGATGTATTATCCAATTCCTCTTTAAAATTTGTCTAAGGAAGTAGTTTAAGCCTATTATGGATGCTCTAAGAGCATCTACAATCATGCTCCTTATTGGCTTTTTAAAAAAAATTTAAATTTATTTTAGAATTAAAAAAAGATAATGGGTAGTTGTGTTCCATAAAAATAGGATCCATTATCTGATTTTTCTTTTAATTTTAATTTTTTTAAATATGAAAAAATGTGAATTTACCATATTATCATCATTTAATTAATAATTTCAATTTTTAATGTATGCATTAACCAATGGCATTTTATGGTATTTTGAATGTTTCATCATTCTCTGCCTCTTGCTTTATATATATAGATAGATAATACTTAGCATTAATTAAAAGTTTAAAGTATGCATAAAATAAATAAGCATTAAATTATAAGAAGCCACTAAGAGTCTTTTCTCTCTCATCAGATTTAGGAGCTCATAGAGGTCTCCCTATTTTAGAAGGTGAATAGAGAGTGTGATTGGAGTTGTATTTTTTTAATTCTTCCCTAAAATTTGTCTGAGAAAGTGATTTAGAAAACCCATTTTGGATGCTCTACAATTAGTATTGGGCCTAACGCCTTTACATATCTATGCAAACAAAATAGGTACTTGCATGAGTTTAACTAAATAAGCACTAATTCTATTATGAAACTTTTGGAAACTTTTCTTTTATTGTGTTTGGGTTGCAACATATTGTTTTTTATTATTTTTGCTATTATTTGCATTATTCCTTAACAACACTTTGATATGTGGGTTTGACGCATGTACTAGGGAAAACTACGTGAAGTTATTCAACCTGAGCACTTTATATTTGATCCAGAAGAGAAAGAAAAAAAAAGGCAATTTAAAGAGACATGTTAGTTATACGTATAGTTTTAAGATATTTACCAAAAAGAAAAACTAAGCTTTAACCCAAGATACGAAAAAAGAAAAAGTAATAGTAACAAGAAAAGTTCTTTACTTAGGGCTCGTTTGGGAGTGATTTTGGATAGGCCAAAAAGCACTTATATAAAGAATCACTTCTCCATATAATCACTTTAAGTGATTTTAAGTGATTTTATGGAGAAGCACATGAGAGCTACTTCTTCCCATAATCACTTAACATCACTTAAAGTAATTATATGGAGAAGCAGGTGGGACCATAATCACTCCCAAATGAGCCCTTAGTTCTTCTCGAAATATGTCATCAATATTGTTGAAAGGTTGCACTTAGTGAATAATTATAGTGTAGTAAGGTGGTATGGCACATGGTATAACTTGTCCACATGTTATAATATAAGTGGATAGTTATTGATATTTACTCCCAAAAAATAGGAAATATCAACCATTATGTCCACCCATGTTATAATACATGTACAAGCTATATCACGTTATCGTACTCTAGTACCATTCTATAATTTCTTGTACATAAGAGGTGCAGAGCGCGTCGATGACATTACATAATATATAATTGTTCATATAATGGGGCTACTAACGTGATCAACAAGTTGTGGTGATTAATTTAACATAATAAAAAATATACCATTTACTTGAGTGATCTAACAATTTGTTCTTTTAAATTGGATTTGCCATCACTTTAATATGATATGTTTCTTATTATAGTGTCCCATGTTAAGTGCTTCAACATTGTTACAAATTTTCTTATAAAATGTTTTAATGCTTCTCACATGTATATCAGATATAGACAGTTGATGTGACTTAGAAATCAAATTGTCAATCAAGCTAAAAAATATGATAGGCCAACGAGGTCTAACTTAGTGAAAAATAATCTTAACTTGCATATCAAAGATTTCATATTCGAATCTTCACAGCATTATAGTTGTGTGTGTACGAGAGAAATTCTCTTCCCGTCCCCTATAATTTAAACTATTGCTTATACTAAAAATATATATATAATAGCTTTTACGAATGCAAACATAAAATTACACCAAACAATAATGGAAAAGAAAGATGGAAGTTATTTTTTCCTACGTCTAGAGTATACTTTTCTTTTAACCAAAATCCTACGTGGGTCCGCATACACTACAAAGTCTTCCATCGTCTCTTTTCTCTAAACTTCTTTCCTATGTTCTCTTCTCAATTCTAGCAATATTCTCTCTTTCAACTTATTTGTTCAAGAAAAAGTTCTACCGTTTTCAAACAGTTTTAATTTCTTTATGATGATGTCCACTTTATGTAGCTAGTGTCAAATACTTCAATTATTTAATTAAGCTATTGTATTAGAGAACATTCTTGTTCATCACCCTTATTTGGTGGCGAGCATTACCATCACGTTAATTGTTGTTGATTAAGTTTAATTTTTAAGATTCGAATAGCAGATAAATTATATCACACTTATTCAATATCGATTAATATGATGATAATACTCACCGTCAATTAACGGTGGTGAGTGAAAATATCCTTAAAAAAAAGTTTGGATAATTCCTGCCAAAAAGAAGAATATTTACGTTAAGTTAACCATTCTTTGTTTAGTAATTCATTCTTTTGATTCCACTCTTTGTTATCTTTTTAGGAACAGAGGGCCAAAAGATCATAGGCTCATAGAATCAAACACAATTGACCAAGAAACGTAGCCCAAAGAAAAAGCTCCCCTCATCCGCAAAGGAGCTAGAAAATCTAGAAATCAAGCCCAACCCAAATTGGGGTTTTTGTGGCACCCCATAGGCCACCTAACTTTTCATTTAATTTTAATTTTGTTAAGCTTTGGACACCTTGGTAACGTTTTAAGTTTTAATAACCAGCTTTAATTTGGTGGCCTAAAAAGCAGTTGGGTCGAGACCAAATTAAACATTTCTGCAAAACCTAACATATCTGTGTTCATGTAATTAGCTAGCTCATCAAGAATGGGAGAGAAAGAAACCTAACGACCATGAATGGTCTCATTCTGATAACATAAATGGAAACCTAACGGATCATGAAGAGACATAATTACTTGGAAAAGAAGAGAGAGACTTCACCATTTTAATTTTGCATGAAAGACGAGAGGAAGCTACAAGAAAATTATATGAACCTTTTATGGAATTCAGATACTCTATCATCCAACTTTTCTTCTAACTTCAATTTGGTATTTGGTTTACGCGTCTATATTTGATTTGATCGTTCAAAAAATTACACGATCGATTGCAAGGATAGCAATTTTACTTGGTCAATCATAAAAAACTAGCAAGTGATAGTAACACAAGATTATCCGCACATGGACTTCACAACGAATTTTCAATCACCAATAATATTATAATTAATGTATAGATTATAACACGTGAACTGATAACATCGCATATTAATAATATTCTAATCTATAAAAATTTATCTACACTCAAAAAGACGAGTTCACCGATCCGCCTTTTAACCCAAAAATTGAAATGAATTTGTAGTTAAATTGATTGAGGACCACCCACCCACACATGCATAATGATAATGAATGGCATAGAGAACACTAATATTAAAATGTAAGAAAGGATGTGGTTGCCACTTTTTCCAGAATTTGAGAACTTGTTAAATTAATAAATAATGCTAGTTTGTCAAAGAAAAGAAAAAAAGAAAAAGTAATGTTGAAGTAGAGGTGGTGTGTGGGGGCTTGAATTTTACCAAAAACTAACACTGAAATCTTCAAATCTCGAACAAGCAAAAGAGGTAAAAGAAAGAAACACCAAAATCGAAACCAACGTCCCTCATTAATAAGCAGGCAACATTCTTTTACCCCCACATCCCAACCTCTCTCTCTCTCTCTCTCTCTCTGACTTTGCATTAAAATTAACGTGCATCAGATCCAAAGCCAACAAGGCAATGCATATCGACCCTCACTCCACAATTGCATGTGAGGCCCTCTCCTACTCTACTTTCCATTTTTTCTTATTCAACAATGTTCAAAGTATTCACCTTCCAAAAAAAAAAAATGTAATTCCTTCACTAACCATATCTTGAGGAGCAAACAATACTACACTGTACACATAAAGGGACCAACCGTCTATGGGTTGGAGACTAATTTATTATCGTTGATGCGTGTTCGCTCGATTGTGGAACCCACATAGAATTACAGTAAGAAATCACTCAGACTCATGTGGGAGACTTAATTGTAACACTCCTTATATTTTTGAACCATATGGTGCAACGACCTATATATAAGTGAGCCACACCTGTTTTAGAGATATGGTTCCAAAATATAGTATTCCTAGCATTACTCATGAAATTATTATTATTATTAATATTTTATACAAGCGATATTGAGAAATGAGAGAATCGAACCTAAGACATCGTTTGCAAGGATAAATATTCTTAATCACTTGAGCTACAAGCCCTTTACTACTCATAAAATTATTTAAAGCATATTCTTTGCACTACATTATTAATAGAGACCGACCATGATAATTCATGTAAAAAAGGAAGTGAACCTTATATATCACACAATGTGAATCATCAGTATAAGATAAGAATATTAATTACATAATTAATAGCGGTGAAATTCACTTAATACA